AATGCATTTTTGGCCACCGACGTGTGCGTGGTGTGCTTTTTTTCCAGGCTCTGAAGCAGTCTGCTGTTGAGTTTTGCTCGGACCAGCCGACCCCTTGCTGGGATCTGCAAGCGCACTTTTGGCTGCTGAAAGCGTCTGTGGCGTGCTCCTTTCTGGGTTTGGATGGGTCACTACCTGTCGGACTACCCCTTACTGTCTGTCTTGGCCCATTGGTGAGGTTGTGGTCAGGCTATTACACCTTAGGTGCAGCCAGTCCTGATGCTTGACTCCTTGTCAGAGGCATATCTGCTTCTTCTGGGTCTGGTGTTTCGAATTCCAAATGGAACTGACGCCAGACAGTTTGGGCAGCTGAAAATGCATTTGGGGGCCTCGGCTGTCAGGGGTTTTGTTTACTAGTAAAGACCTGGACCCTTTAAACCTGCGGCAAAGCGCACCGGATACGCTTTCATCATTTAAAAATGCGTTTGGAGAACTCGGCACGTGGTAGTCTGAGAGGTCTGACCCTGAGTCCATTCAACCCTACACAGAACACGCCACGGACGTGTTCAGCAGCTGAAAGTGTGTTTGGGGTCTTCGGCTGGTACCAGCAGCTGTGTAGTTAGCAGATTTCGCTAGCTGACACTCAACAAGCAAAGCCAGACCTGTCGGACACCCCGCCATCTAAGCCGCCCAGACGCGCTTTTAGCTGCTGAAAGCGTCTGTGGCGGGTTCTGTCGGGGGGTTGGAGGGGTCACGATTCCACCTGTCGGACACCCTGCTTCCTGGATCTCCAAACGCGCTTTAAGCTGTTCATAACGTCTCTGGTGTGCTCCGTTGGGGGTTGGATGGGTTGTGTTCAGATCTGTCGGGCACCCCACCAGCCGAGCCGCCCAGATGCACTTTTAGCTGCTGAAAGCGTCTGTGGGGGGCTCTGTTGGGGGTTTGGAGGGGTCACGGTTCGACCTGCCGGCCACCCTGCTTCCGGGATCTCCAAACGCACTTTTAGCTTTTAAATGCGTCTCTGGTGTGCTCTGTTGGGGGTTGGGCGGATTGTGACCTCGACCAGCACTGCTGAAAGCTTCTGTGGCGGGCTCTGTTGGTGGGTTGGAGGGGTCACGGTTCGACTTGTCGGAGTCCCCGCTTCCGGGATCTCCAATGCCAATGCCGCCAAACGCACTTTTAGCTGTTGAAAGCGTCTCTGGTGTGATTTGTTGGGGGTTGGATGGGTTGGGTTCAGACCTGTGCTTTTCCCTGAGTCTCCAGAATACGTGAATTCAGGTTTCGGTTGGATTTACGTAAATGGAGTTTTTTAGTTACGAAAAACCTAAATTTCCGACTAAACGTAAATTTTCTCCGAACACCAAAACTTCATAAAAAACGCGTCAAAACTTCATAAAAAACGCGTCAAAACTTCATACAAAATGCTTAATGAATTTTGTGCCAAAAAACTGAAATACTTTCGAAAACATGAAACTTCATGACAAAATGCTTACCTGCGAGGATTTTTTCCAACCTCAAACCACTTTTTCTCAGGGCTGTTCCAAACGAGAAAGAGCCGAACTTGCTTGCGATGAAAGTGTATCGTTTTACATGTGAGACTCTGTGGGTATTGTTTTCTGCGAGGCTTGTTGTGCATGTGAGAGGTTCAGTTTTTCTTGCGGTGTATATCGGCCCCAGCCTGCCATTGCTACAGCTTCACTTGTCTCGCCAGAGCCACACCATGGAAAGCGGTCGGCGAGATCGCAGTCGTTCACCCAGGCAGATGAATCTTGGAGCTGACATGGAAAAAATTTTCGTGAGTCATAGATCTATGAATACACAATAGAGCGGTTTACTTGTGTGCAGTCTAGACGTGTGTAACAGAAAGGAAGTGGGTGTGGTGCTGGAAAAAGTGGGAGGATCCGCTGACTGGCTTGGTCATCTGGCAACTTAGCTTGAAAAAGATAAAAAGAGATGTATAATATACAGATATATATATGTTCTTTTTTACATGAGAGCTGGATGACAACAAAGGTACTGGGTTTGGTTCAAGCGGGTGCCCGACGAGCAGTGATGCACAGCTGTGCGGCTTTTTTGTGCATGTTTTGCCCACCGCGGGCATCAAAATAAGAGATCTGTCAGTCGCCCCTGTGCTCTATGTACAAAAGCACAGCCTTTATACTGGCAGCACTTGGCAAGCTTCGTCCGCCGTCGTGAGTAAAAAGTGGGAACATGCCTAAACCCTAAGCCATAAACCCTAAACCCTATAAACCTTAAACCCTAAACCCTAAACCCTAAACCCTATATTACTTGCGAGACAGAACTACTTGCGAGACAGAATTACTTGCGAGACAGAAACTACGGACTCATTTGTTTGTGTGTTTACTTGTGATAACATTCGTTTACTTGCGAGACAACACTCAGGATATAACTACGGACTATAATTTGCTTGTGAGTTTCCTGTGAGACAATATAATCGCTTTCCCCAGGTCCAAAACAAGGCATGATCACATCGAAGTACTTTTTTGTCTCTCTGACACGTTATATGTAAATATGAGAGGCACAGAACTCGCAAAGTAAAACGTCTCTCATCAACCGGCTAGCTCTTTCTCCGTTTTGGGGCATGGGCCGGCTCTCTCTCACATAGAAACCTCACATGTAAACAACAGGAACAATTTTTTTTGGCCCTCGCACAGACAAAAGTTCACCCGACCTTGCCCCTCAGCCACAGAAGGTGCCGCTCCTTGAGGGCAGCCTTCCTGGCGACCTGCCAATGCTTGACACCAGGCAGGCAACTCTTCCAAAGGGTCTGAACCCGATGCATGGTGGACTCGCCCTTGAAGCACCAGACCATTGCTGGATGAATGCAGCCACTGAGCGACAGGCTGTGCAAAGCAAAGTGTGTCTTGCTTGTGAGGTTAAATAAGTGCCTCCCTGCAGCTTTGTAGTGCTGCTGCAAGCTGATGTGGAGCTGTGCCATCTGCAGGCCGCAGAGCAGAGCCTGCCGTGCTTCCTGCTCAGGCAAAGCCAGGTACCCATGCCTTGGCGAAAACGTGTCTAACTTCTCAGACAAACGACAATTCAAACGGAGAAAGAGCAGAATCTGCTTGTGCTGGTAGTTCTCTTCGTCCATCTCCTGCTGAAAAAATGCTAGAAGGGCAGTGTCCAAGCTTTGCACATCCGATGCCCTGCCACGAATCTTTGGGAAACCTTTCTTGGGCTGTATCATCGTAAGTTTGAGGAGCTTTTGCTTGAACTTGTATCTGGTGCCATGTTCTCGCTGGTAATTCTTGATGAAGGAATCGATATGCTTCAGCCTTTCAGCCTCTGTGCCTTCCAAGCAATCCGAGAAAACGAGAGAGAGCACGGAGCCATATGCATACTGCAACCACCCAAGAAACATGCAATGCATATAGTCCATAGAAAGACACAGCCCATTGAAGCCCGGCAATTGGAATAAGGCACAAGCCGAATCCCAGTGTGTCTTCCAGTTGCTGGGCTTGAGGCCGGCGCTTTGCCACGGTGAGCTCTCTCTGTTGTCCATCCAGCTTAAGGGCCCTTTGAAACTTGCTCGGCAGAGGCAACAGGGTTTCTCATGGTTGTTCCACTTCGGCACTTGCAGCCATTTGGCATAGTAGTCGAGGTCGCCTGCCAACTGAACCAAGGCTCCAAAGTAACCGCCACAAAGCAAAGTCCCTGCTTTTGCTGCTTCTGCACTGCCCGGGGCATACCTGTTTGTATACAGGAAAAGTGAAAAATGAAACTGCTTATATATATATATACATATATGTGTGTATAGCTTTTACATGCGGAAACCCAAACACAAAACCCTTCACAAAGAAAAACAAAACCTACATATGACAAGCAAGTCGAGTTTCGGAGTGCCCTCCCAATCTTTCGTAGGCCACACCCCCTCATATATGATCCCAAAAGACCATGCGAGTATCTTCCAGAACGTGGCCATTGTGCCAGGAGCATCCTCGTCGTCACCAACAATGAATTTTTCGAAGCACCCCCATATGTACAGGTTGGTGTCCTGCACAGAGCGTCCTGCAAAAGTGGCCATGAGGGAATTCCAGGAAAATGCCAGTGCCGAGCGGCACCATATCTTCCCCACCCCCAGCACAGGAACCTCGTCGCCGTGCATGGCCAATGGAATGCACCGGTTCCTGTACTGGGGGTGGGAAAGCAGAGGGTGGCCCTCCATGCAGGGATGCTTCCGGAAACAATCCCAGAAGGCAGCCAACCGGCTCGGGTCCGGCAGCACGGAGGTAACCCACCCTGTGCCATTGGAAAACATATGGGCCATCATTTCGTGGGGCAGCAGAAGCAATGACGTGGGCTGGCCTGGCACCTGTCCCGCAAGAGGGATGTCGAACTCTTTGGGTGTGGGAAGGTCGGCTTGTTTGGCCAGCAGGCCGTCGATCGACTTTTGCAGGTTCTTACCATGCTTGATCTTGGCCAGCTTCTCCAAATCAGGAAACACGGTACCTTCGCGAGAGAGGCCCATATCGGCAACAGCTGCTGTTGCAATTGCATGACACACTGCAGCCGACATAAGGCCCTGTGCGAGGTATGTCATCAGCAGATCATGCAGAGCACTGATGCTTGTCTTTGAAGCCTCAGCCTGGCTCTGTCGTTGTTGAATGCCACCTTTTCGTCGTTTTCTCGCGGGGCCGGCATCATCCATGTTATCGTACAAGAAGATGTTGCAAAATGATCTCGAAAGGAAAAGATCTCGAAAGGAAACGGTTTTCTTGCTGTATATCACACAAAACATGAAACTCTCAAGATGTAATTCTGAAGAAAACAAACTTCCAAAGCTCCCACATGAAACATAACTACAGGTTTAGGGTTTAGGGTTTATATAGGGTATATAGGCTTATGTTTTTAAGGTTTAGGGTTTAGGGTTGCACAAAGACATGTCTTTTGCACGGCTTTCTCTAGCACAGTCGCCTATATAGTTCTGGAGATCCAAAATCCCTGTGTGCAAGCGAATGCAAAAACCGCACACACCATCAAAATCTGGGCAGGCTCCACTCCTAGGCTTTGCGAGCACTGACGACAGAGTGCTGTGCCTTGACAGCAGCGAATTGCTCTTCAAGTTGCTCGGCCTTTGTGCCAAACTCCAGCATCATTTCATCGTACTTCAGGGTCGTGATCTCTGAGCCATCCGGTAGCTCCTATTTGTGTGTGTGCTTTGTTCCTTATACAAAACATGCAGTCTCTTTCTCACATATCAGAAATACAAATGCTTATAGGCCTGCCATGTATGGATGTGATCAATCTTGACCTTCTCGCTCGTGGCCGCCTGGACGATGATCTTCCTTATAGTGTGTCGTCGTGGCTCGGGGCTGCTGTTCTGTTGGGGTTGGGGCGTAAATCGTTGCGAGGTTGTGGGATAACACAGAGACAAATACCGGGTTCGGACTTTAAATTTTCAACCTAAACCCGAAACCCTAAACCTTACACCCTAAACCCTAAACCCTAAACCCTCAACCCTCAACCCTAGACCCTAAACCCTAGACCCTAAACCCTAAACCCTCAACCCTAAACCCTAAACCCTAACCCCCCCCCCCAAACAATTAGATGGGGTGTGGGGTTTTACTCGTTTTCGCAAAACAAAGCAAAAAGCAGAGCAAAGCTGGTCTCGTGTAAGTGTAAATAAAACTAAAACAGCAAGGGCTCGCCTGATCGTAAAACTTGTCCTCCTTGGTCAATCCTGTCAGCAGCTTCTGTGCCGAGTTCTTGATCTGCTCGAAGGCTTTCTGCGCCATGTGCAGTTGCTGCTTGGCCATCTCCCAATCCTTCGACGAGAGAGACTGGGGCTGCTGGTCCATGATAGCCAAGGGCACCTTCTTCTCGCTGCTGCTGGAGGCTGTGGCCTTGGGGGAACTGCTGGCCTTCCGAAACAACCCGATGCTCCACTTGTCGGCAACAGCTGCCACCAAGCCCTGCTGCTCCTTGCTAATTTTGCCGGCTGTCTCGGTTACACTGGCAGCCTTCTTGGCTTTTGTCTCACTGTGCTCGGCCGTATCCCACCCGTACTTGCACGTGCCATTCTCGTCGGTCACTTCGTAAAACTCTCCCGCCTGGAGCCCGGCTTGGAAAGCATCCTCTGTGAGGTTGAACTTACCACAGAAGAGTGTTTTGGATAAGGTCTTTGTTGCTTTCTTGGACTGGATCTTCGTCCAGGTCTCTTGCATCTCCTTGAACATCGGCTTGTTCAGGTTCACGACCAGCTTCTGATCCTTTGTGCGATCGAGGCACATGTTCACGAGCTTTCGCTGCTGCTCCACACGCCCCACCTTCATGGAGAGCGTTTCGCGGTATTTTGCCGCGAGCCAGTCGGGCAACTGGTTGTTCTGGTACATCTGCTTAAATTTAAAATCTTTCGCTCGGTCTTTCTTCGTCTGGGTCTCGGGGTCCGTGTTGAACACATCGATCTCTTCGTCGACCTCTGCCTCCTCCTCTTCGCCGCCCTCTTCCTCGGCATCTTCCTTCTCGGCAAACAAGGGTGTGGCCCATGAGGAAATCACCTTGCTCTTCTTGTCAGAGGTACTCTTGCTCTTGTCAGAGGTACCCTTGTTCTTGCTCTTCTCAGAGGTACCCTTGCCCTTGTCGTCGTCGGCTGTTCGCTTCTGGCTTTGTGGAGCTGCAGAGGGCTTCTTGAGAACCAGGTTCTTTGCTTTGGCCTTGGCTATCTGTTTGGGCTGGACCTTGTCCTTCATCTTTGCCTCCGCATTCTTCTTGGGCTTCGCCGTGGTCTTCGCTGCTGGCTCTTTGGCGGCTGGTTTCTTCTGAGGCTGTGGGTCTTCCTCGGCATCGACATCGGTCTTCGCTGCTTTGGCGGCTGGTTTCTTCCGAGGCTGTGGTGGGACTTCCTCGACTTCGACATCCGTCGGCACAGGCATTGCCGGCTCCTCGTCCGACATGTGTTCTTCACGAACACACAAAAGCAATCACTTCAAATGGAGCACACAGTGCTGTGGTCATGAAGCAACTGCGTGCCAAAAGGAAAAGCTTGCGCTCTCACATGTAAAACTACCCATGCTCTACAAAAGCGCACAAACACCACAGAATCTTTTAGATAAAGTGTTCCGGGTTTCAGTATAACATCGTGAGTGCTCGAAGGAAAAGCTTGTGGTCTCACATGTAAAACTACCAGTCACATGTAAAACTTTCGAGCCTGGTTTAGGGCTCGGGGCCCAGAGAATTTGTCAGTGCACACCACTATGCCCGAACCTTTTTATAAAAAATAATCGTTTCTTTTTGATTTTATTTTCTTTTTTTTGTTATTTTTTTGTTGTTTTAATATGAATTTCTTATGAATTCTTTATGCGTTTTTTATGTTGTTTTTATGTCGTTTATAAAACTTCATAAAAAACACATAGAACCTATGCATTTTTTATGCGTTTCTTATGAAGTTTATAAAACAACATAAAAACAACACAAGAACCGCATAAAGAATTCATAATAAATTCATATGATTTTTTTAAAAAAATGCAAATTTTTTAAAAAAAAATAACGAAAAAAATCCAAAATGTGTATCACTAAACCCTGAAACCTAGGCCCTAGACTCCTAGACCACCGGAAACCCCTAAACCCGAAACACTAAATTTAAACCATGAAACACCCTAGACGGTATATATAGAACCCCCAACCCCCCAAACGAAAGTACATGTGTATATGTATGTATGTATATGTATATATATATATGTATATGTATATGTACATATGCATATATGCATATATGCATATATGTATATATGTATATATGTATATATGTATATATGTATATATGTATATATGTATATATGTATATATGTATATATGTATATATGTATATATGTATATATGTATATATATATACATGTGTATATATGTATTTATTTATATATGTATATGTATATATGTATATATGTATATATATATGTATATATGTATATATGTATATATGTATATATGTATATATGTATATATGTATATATGTATATATGTATATATGCATATATGCATATATGTACATATGTATATGTGATGGGGACCATCGCAAGTAAATCACATGTAATGGGGAGCATCACATGTAAATCACATGTAATGGGGAGCATCACATGTAAATCGGAACCATCGCATGTAACGGGGACCATCGCAGGTAATGCATGGGTTTAGGGGGTTTAGGGGATTCAGGGTTTAGGTTTATAGTGTTTAGGGTTTCGGGTTTAGGATTAAGGGTTTAGGGTTTAGGGTTTAGGGTTTTAGGGTTTAGGGTTTAGGGTTTAGGATTAAGGGTTTAGGGTTTAGGGTGTTAGGGTTTTAGGGTAGGGCTTTTAGGGTTTAAGGTTCAAGGCTTGGGTTTGGGGCTTATATAGGGATGAACGGTTTCGCTCTTTTTGGCTGCTGGCGATCACCGTACCCGCTTGTACTTGCCGTGCTTCACACGGAAGGTGACCAGTCGCGAAGAGCTGGAGCTTCGTCGCCGCCTGCTTCGCCTGCTCCTGCTTCGCCTGCTCCGTCTGCTCCGCCTGCTGCCTCGCCTGCTTCGCGAGCTCGAAGAGGGCCTTCGCGATCTGTGTCTCCGGTGCTTCTCCTTTTTGGACTTCTCCGAGCTTTCCTGCTCTCCCTCCTCCTCCTCCTCCGACTGGCTGCCGTCTTCGTTGGCCTTGTCCTTCTCGGCCTCGTCGTCCTGCTGGGCCTCATCGTTGGGCTCCTCGTCGTCGTCCTGCTCCTCTTCTAGCCCAGCAGCACGGAGTTTCTCGATCTCGCAGGTAAGATGCTTGGTGGCCTCGCCCTCGACCTCCTTGCTCTCGTCCTCGCCCTCCATGGGGATAATCTCGTAGGGATCCTGAGTTGTTTCTTGTGTTATATTAAACTGTTGTTTTTTTTGTTTATGTCGGGTTTAAAAAGAGAAGCCATCGCAGAAAACGGAAAAAGTTGACATATGTTTTTAGGGTTTAGGGTTTAGGGTTTAGGGTTTAGGGTTTTTAGGGTTTTTAGGGTTTTTAGGGTTTAGGGTTTAGGGTTTAGGGTTTAGGGTATATATATATATATATACTTGAGGTTCGGACACACAAAAGACAAAACTGTTGGTCCACCAGAACTCAAGAAAACATTCTCACTGTGAAGGAACCAAGGCACGAAGTGCACCACATCCTCCACATCCTCATCCAGCTGTGGTGGCGGCGGCGGAAAAGCCGGCCAGGACGGCAACACCGGGGGTGGTGGCAGCGGCACGTTGATCCAAGGGGCAGCTGACGGCACTCCAGGCCCAGCTTCTGCCGACACCTTCGGCTTGGGGTCCTCCGCCCACGAAGCTGCAAGAACTTTGCCACTGCAGATCTCCGGCAGGAACACCTGGTCGAGCTGGGCGATGGCATAGCCGGCATCCTCCTGGTGCTCCTTTTGGTATTAAAGGGTCTAGGGTTTAGGGTTTATATAGGGTTTCGGGTTTAGGTTTTAAGGTTTATATAGGGTTTATAGGGTTTAGACACGGTTTAAGGTTTAGGGTTAAGACACTCGCAAGTAATTTACTCTTGGCTTTATGTCTTGTCTGCGACGGAAAGAAAGACCTTTATATACATGTATACATTTCTATATATATATATATACCTACATATACATGCACACATAGACCTAAGTTTTCCTTGTGAGGCTTCATACATATAATGGTTCCAAACGGTATGTATATGTATGTATATATATAAAGGGTTTATACATAAGCTCAAGGGTTCCAGGCTTGTATAGGGTTTCCTATCACAAGAAAATAAAAAAACACATGCTTTCTGCTTGACCAGCGGCGAAACTGAGGAACATGGAACAATGGTCCGAACGCTTTCGGCCCTCAACCCAGTACTTGTCACGGACCAGCTGGATGTCCAAGCAGTTGTTGACACCGAGCCGCTCCAGACATGATCGCACTGCCTTGGATGGGTTGGCATCAATGAGAAAAGAACAAACCAAAAAGCTTCAGGTAAAAGTGTTGATTGATGTAAAGCGAATCAAGTTCAGCGGGATTGTGTGGTGCTTCAGTGTCTATATAGGGCTTAGGCTTAGGGTTTTGTTTCTTCTATATAAGTCTGTAACCGAGGCACCCACTTCTTCACGTCGTACCACACGTTTTTGCAGTAGACTCGCGAGGTTTTCTGTGCCATGGCTCCTCTTCTAGGCCTCTGTGTAATTTGCTACAGCTTATGTATACCTCTATATACTATCTGTCGTCTCCAGCTCCAGAGATGCTTTCTCTTTCTCATATAAATGCCGTCGTGTCTAAAACATGTATCCTCCTCATCTGCAGACCATCACACAAAA